AAAGCAATTTGCATTTTGACAATTGCCAAAATATAAGTTTTGGAAGGGTGGGGTCTTTTGAAAAGGCAGCATTGTCATTGCTGAATGAAAACCACGGAGAGGAATGTGTCCTGGGAGACGCAGGGCACTGGGACGTGAGGCCTGGGGGACAGGACAGCAGCACAAAAGACCACAACTACAGTTCCCACCACACAGCTCCAGCACCTCCCATTCACATATCTCCATTAGTTCTCCCAGATGGAAAATCCTGCCTGCCTTGACCTTCTTCGACAGATTCATTTGGCCAAGCCACAGTTTTTAATGTGGAGATGCTTCTGCTGTGGTTTCTTCACCCATCTTGAACCCACAGCTTTTCTCTTTTCCGCCCCAACCTTCCCCAGATTCCTAAACATCTGCATTTAAGTGATACCTGGTTATTTATATCATAGTCTGGCGGCCCAGGTAGAGACGTTTGATGAAGCTCTGTACATCTGTGTGCAATAAAGTTAGCAAACAAAAGGCCTGTGAGGTCCTTGGCAAAATAAGAGAAAGAAGAGAGCAGGAGACAGCAGCACTGGGCTTATCTGAGCATTTGGAGCCAAAACCTTTTATTGGAGAGGTCTCAGCACCTGGCACATGTTATTCCCGTAGCTGGGGCTGCAGCCCATGCAGGGGTGTCCTCTCCACTGGCTGAATAGCAAAGCGTGGGGAGCATAGGTGATGCCAATCCTGGGAGGTGATTTTTATTGCAGCTGGCGCAGGCATTCATAGAAAGAAAAGATGGGTTGCTAAAGAGCACTTACTGTGGCAGAGAAATTCAAACCAAGAAGCAATGGCTGGAAATTAAAGCCAGGCAAATTCATGTTAGGAAGGAGGCAAAATGCTTTAGCACAGCAGGGGATTAACCACTGGGCAAGGCAGAGGGTGGGCGGGAGCCGCATTTCCTGAGCAACTCTGTCCAGGGAAACGTGGCTGGGAGAGCCGCACACCCTGCCCGCGGCACCAGCACCACATGCAGATCTGGAGCTGGGATCCAAAAGCATCACGATCTGCTGATGGGTTCCTGTCGGTTCTAGGCCAGCTCACGGCAACAGTGGTGTGACCAGGCATTGTCCGCAGAAGCATCTCTGGGCCCCCACTGCTGGTTTCCTCTGAGGGGGCAGGACCAGTGTGATGGATCCCATCATGACGTATACCAACATCGTCCCCAGAAAGGACTTTCTGACGCCGAGATGGGACATTAAATTCGTTGCCCTAATTCTTTCATTCCTATGTCCTATTGTCAGGAAAAAATAGGATGGATATTTTCCTTCTGTTGGACCAACCCTCTCCCACTGGGCATCTGCAAACACATCATGCTACACACAGACTGAGCTGCCAGATAGCCCTGGCTGGTAGCCAGCAGTGCACAGCACTGGCCACTCAGCACCCAGGCATTCAGGGTGAGCCCAGAAGGCAGTAATTTCAACTAAAACCACTCTCTTTTAGCTGGTTTGGCACCTTCTGTCTGCACAAACAGGTGGATTAGGAGGGGGTGAATGATGGAAAAGCACTATGTGATGGGGTTGGGAGGCAGTTGTTGCCCAGCGGATGTCCTCAGAGCCCTGGGAGTGCAGCTGGAAGGAATGGACAGAGCCAAGGCTAAGCTAACAGAGCCAAACAGATCTGAGCAGTCACAGTGGAAAAGTGGCCATCACTGCCTGGCTGCTCGGGGTGCTTGTGAGGAGCTCACAGGGAGGCCAAGTTCAGGGATGCTGGCTATGGAGGGGGGCTCTACCAGCCTACACCTTCTCCCAGCTCACTCACTCGCTCCTGAGGATACACAAATGAGGTCCTCTTCTCTGGATGAGGACAGGGACAGCTTTTTTGGGGAGCAATGTGAAGCTTCTCATGAGGTTCGGCTTCTTCCCTTCTCCAGACACTGGATTTTCCCATCCCTGGAAGATCAATGTAAAATGGATCCTAGGAGCAGGGAAGCTCTGCACACTCCACTTACTCCTCCACATTCCTGTGCAGCTTCGGCCTGGTGGGACCAGTGGAAATATTTGCAAGGATCTTGAGAAAACCCCAGGAGTTTTGCTTTCCTGGCTTTGCAAAAGCATTTCTGCTTATCAAGCAGCCCAGGGAAATGTGAAGATTTTCACTCACTCTTCGGGTGGGCTCAGCTTTGAATGTTAAAAAGGGATTTGCCAATGCAGTCTTGCAAAACACTCAAGTATCAAGCCCAGCGCTCCTAAAAAAGGAGTTTTAGGAGGAAGTGAGCTTTCATGCTCTTTGGAAAACATGCATTTCTACCAGATTTAAAGAAGAATGAGGTCTTCTGTGAGGCCATGCCACCCCCTGGAGAAATGCCTTCTCATGTTGGTCAACAGGGACTAAATCCTGTGGTTTGCAGCACCAAGGGCAGAGCTGCTAGTGAGCCTTGAGGTTCTGAAGGATGGAGATGTGGTCACAGGATACAGCAGGGAGGACAGACCCTCAGGGTGAAGGAGTTAAATCTTCCTTTCTTCTGCTTGAGCTGAGCCCTGAGGCTGAGCCGTTGATACAGGTGTTGTCTTGATGGTTAGCTATATCCTAGAGGACATCCTTCATTCTGCAGGCCAGATGCACCACTCAGCTGGTCCATGCCTGAGGGAAGGCTCTGTAGGGAGCCATCACTCAGCCCTGAGACCTTTCTGTAAAGCAAGTATTGAGACTTTAAAAATGCCACCTCCTTTCCAAAAGCTCAGCTCATGTGTTCTGCAGGGCAAGAACTGCCTCCAATCCCCTATTAACCTGCCAGAGGGGAGACTGAGCTGAGCTCTTAGGCAGAAGCTCTTCCCTGTGAGGGTGCTGAGGCGCTGGCACAGGGTGCCCAGAGAAGCTGTGGCTGCCCCACCCCTGGCAGTGTTCAAGGCCAGGTTGGACACAGGGGCTTGGAGCAAGCTGCTCCAGTGGAAGAGGTCCCTGCCTGTGGCAGGGGTTGGAGCTGGAGGAGCTTTAAGGTCCCTTCAACCCAAACCAGGCTGGGATTCTGTAATTCTATGTTCTGTACAGTGCTGCCTGTGGTGCAGCCATCGTGGTGACAGAGGCTCCTTGGCATGCCATGAGAAAAGGAGAGCATAGCTGAGCACTCCTGGCAAAGCACAAAGTGCTTTTCTTGAGAGTGAGATGGAAGGGGAAGAACTTACAAGGGGGGTGCAGAAAGCATGCTCCTGCGCTTCTTTTAGCTGCAAACAGGGTATTTAAGTGCATTCGCAGCATCAGCAAATGTGTCGAGGTCTAAACTGCCGTAATTCCCCTGCATGCAGGAGCTGTGTCTCCGGTCTCCTTGATGGTTCCCTCCTGTTCTGCGAGATGACAAATGCACCCGCATTCTGGTGGGCTCATCTAAGGCGAGGCAAACCACAGCGCAGTCCTGACCCTGCTCACTGACAGGAATCTCACTTTCTCACAGCAGGCAAACCGCTCCCAGGCCTCTCCTCTCACCATTAGCACATTGGTGGCTGCTTCTGCTCTGCCAGCATTTGGTGGAGACATGAGTTGGGCCTCACTGTGTTAGCCAGAGGAATTCAGGTGGCAAAGCACAGAGGGAACAGCCTCCATCCTGCTGGTCGGACGTGCCCGGAGGATTTTGCTCTCCCTTTTGCTTTTATGTCGTGGGTTAGCCGGGGATTGTTCCTGATAAATAATCCGGAACTGCACTGTAATTTTCTGGTCTGAAATTTGATAATTAAGCAAATATAACATGTCTTTGTCTTGGGTAAGCACCATAAGGTAAACAGGAAGGAATGAGGGATTAAGATGTCTGTACTCTAAAGGAAGGTGACAAGCCCAGAGCCGTGACACCTTCGTGCTGAGCCGAAGAGGCCCAGCTGTGGGTTGGCATTGCACAGATGCATTGTTCAGGGGTGAAGAGCAAATAAAAGCAAAGGGAAAAGAAAACAAGCTATAAAATTCTCAGCAAAGCAGAGAGCCCCAGCCTCTGCCTCTTGATGTTCCAGTGACAGCTCCGGGGAGAGGCAGGAGAGGGGTCGAGCTTTTGAAGTCCTGTCCTTTGCAAAGGCCCCCTGTTAAAACAGTCCTTGTGTTGACATTAGGTTGCATATGGTGGGGACTCTCCAGGCAGGTTCAGTCACAGCACATGCAATCAAAGCAGAAGGGGACTTTTTGGTGTTTGATGACCTGTCCCAGTGGTGGGGCGATAGATGTAGAGCCAGAGATGAGGCTTTGTTGACCTGTTCAGGGATGTAGACATGTAACAGAACCCTGTGATATGTGTACCAAGCATGGGAAGGAAAGATGGGAGAAGTTACCTAGGAAGGGCTTGAAATTATATCTGGGGTTTAGACACACACATGTCAGGACTGGTGAGAGTGGGAATACTGGGAACATCTGGGATGAGGGGGTTTCACAGCTGTTTGGAGGGGATTGTACCAACAGTAGCACGATGGAAGTGTTCAAGGCCAGGTTGGATGGGGCTTGGAGCAAGCTGCTCTGGTGGAAGGTGTCCCTGCCCATGGCAGGGGTTGGAACTGGATGAGCTTTAAGGTCCATTCCAATTCAAACCATTCCATAAGTCTATGATTCTGTGAAGCACCATGGTGCAAGAGCAGATGAGAAGGGAGATGAGCTGTGCTTGCATGGGACAAGGCGCTTGCCACAAAGCTGGAGGAGCAGCTGAGGGCTTGTGCACTGCCATTTCCTAATCACGGATGGGCTCCCTGCCCTCACAGCTCTGCCTGCACACAGCTTTTAATCCACAGTAAGAACGGGGAGAGGCAAAAGGCGTATTCGTCGCAAGGTCTCAGCAACTTCAGCTTCCCCTCCAAAAAGCTGGACTCACCACACAGAACCGGCCGAGGAGGGATGTGGGTTAGCAGTTGGCTTCCCATAGCCAGAGCTGCCACCAGCACATCCCATCCTTTGACATCCCGGTAGGACCCTGAGGGTGCCCAGCCCCATGCACACCGGCTCTCCTGGGGTTGGCACCTCCATGGCCGGTGCAGATGCTGATGGTCTCCTCTCTTTGCCTCTCTCAGCCTGCAACTGCAACCTGCACGCCCGGCGGTGCCGCTTCAACATGGAGCTCTACAAGCTGTCCGGGCGCAAGAGCGGCGGCGTGTGCCTCAACTGCCGGCACAACACTGCTGGCCGGCACTGCCACTACTGCAAGGAGGGCTTCTACCGGGACCTCAGCAAGCCCATCTCCCACCGCAAGGCCTGCAAAGGTACTGGGTTGGGGGTGGGTTGGCTGGGACCACACAGCTCCTTCTTCTTCAGCCACTTCCTGCTGCTCCTGCTTCCACAGCTCCTGCTCTCGCCAAACTCCCGCTCCTCCCTCTCTCAAACCAATCCCTTGAAAGGACTTTTCTCTCTACCATGTTCCTTGCCATCACCTCTCCCTGGTGTTCCCATCCTCCTAGTGAGGACAGGGCTACCAATATACAAGAAGTCCTCACTGGTAAGGATGACCAAATTATTTCACGTTTTATCACTTCAAACTTGTGCTACATCCACTCCAACAACCGCAGATAACTTGGTCATCACCCATGTAAGGGCACAGTTGCATAAATTCCCAGGTATGGGGTTAGATGTAGTGCCTGTAAATCAGCCCATCTCCTGCTCCCATGCTTCACCCTCACCCCAGTGCTGCTCAGGGACAGGCAGCACTTAACCCGCACTCACAACATCCCACAGTGAATGGGGGAAAGGTGAGAACAGTAAAACAGGAACCAATTCCACTTTGAGCTCCACAAATGGAGTTTTTTGATGCTTCCCCGTCTCCTGCCATGGCCATCAAGGCAAGCGGGGCTTGGGGCTGGAGGAGCAATAAGAGCAAATTCTGCAAGTGAACTTTTTCAACTCTTGGCTGTCTGATGGAAGAGATTTGAACCCTGAACCTGGGACACAGCTAAAAGAATCAAGCAAACATTCAAAAACCAGATTAGAAGATGCTGGGGCTTCCTGCAGAAAGCTTCATCTCTTTTCTCTCCAAAGACTCGTTTCAATGAGAAATGGAAAGCTTTTTGGCCTGAGCTGGGTATTTTTGGCTGGAAAGATTTGGGTCTTCAGCATTCCCAATTTTTTAATGAGAACACTTCTTCATGTTTTCATTTAGTTTTGGGGTATTTTTTGTTTTATTTTGGGTTGTTTTTTTTTTTCCACTGAGAACAAACACACTCTGTGCCAAAGCAGAAAAAGAAATCACAGCTTTAGATGGCCCAAATTCCCCCTTTTCACCTTATAAAGACTACCTCAGTGAACCCTTTTCAACCTGCCCTGCACGGAGGCTACTGACAGCTCCAGCCAGCAAGGGCTGGTGGGATGCGAACCCAACCTATGGCTCTGGAGGAGGACAGGAGCTGCCCTCTTGGGCAGAGCCACTTCCCAGGCCAGCCCCAGCACTCGTATCCTGTCCGGACTCCACTCTGGAGCAAGCTGCCAGCCACTCCCAAGTGGGTTTGTGTCCCAGTAACGTTCATGTTTGTGCTTTCCCGGCCGGGCTGCAACTGAAGGAATTA